CCCCCCGCCCCCCTCCCCCTTCTTCATTTTCTATTTTACGGGCTCAAAAATTGCTTCTCTTCCTCCTGCTGCTGCTGCCGGAGCACCCAGGGCTGTGAGCAGAAATCTAATGAGACCCGATCGCCTGGTTATGTAACTCCCCACACGCTGCTATGGCTCCTGCTTCCAGCCCCCGCTGCCACTGCCTTGCTCTTGGAGTCGTTAATGTGCTTGGGTTCCTTAAAAATAGTCTCCCTATCCATTTAAAGAAAAAAAAAAAGGGAAAAAAAAGGCTTGGAATGATCGAGCTGGTTTGTTTAATCAGCTGCTTATACCATGAATCAGTTTGGGGCTTAGAAGAATTTATGTCTGCCCAGTGCCTTGAAAGGATCATTTCTTTCCTAAAGGACGTGGAGGAGGGGAAACAAAACAGATGGATTAATAAATCATTTTTTAAATGTCCCTTTTAACCATCCAATCAGCTTTTCTGTACTGAATATGTCCCTTTTGTAAATATCTTCTGTTTGCCCTTGATCTTTTCCTTATCCCCACCCAGTGCTGATCCAGCAAACGTTTAAAGGTCGCCTTATCATGTAAGCTTTCAAACTATGCCCATACCATGTTGAGGGCAACACAAGTGGCTTGGAAATAGGGGTTCAGACTTTAAAAGGAGATTATGTGCAGCCATAAAAAAAATCTATTCACATTTTAATGGGATCTTAATATTGACTTTTTTTTCTCTAATCTTTAGTGACAGATATACAATTTTTTTTACCTAGTGATGCAGTGCAGAGAAGCACACCATTAACCAAAATGCTGGGCATTTAACTTGAGCCAATATATTTATATTTTTTGACTGGAACTTCTTACACAGTGCTTTCTTCTTTGGTCAAGCACCTTATGCTAAGGTATTGCAGGATTTTCATTGCAGTACATATTTTAATACTTGATTTTAGTCCTTTGTCTAACTTTAGGTAGCTAATTTCTCTTTTGTCCTTTGTGAAGGAGTGACAACCATATTTTATATTAAATATAAAATGGAGTCACACAGCGAGAGAAAAGCAATTGCTTTGACTGAGGCTATCGAAAGCCTTCCTGGCTGTAGTAACTTTTGGAAATCCTGGTTCTAGATAAAAGTAGGCATTTGTAGACATATGTATATGTAATATGCATATATTACATTTGATGCATGTATATAAAAGAATTGTAGAAAGGGAAAAATGTGATTTTTTTTGCAATGATTTAATAGTTATTGCTACCTTTGTCACAGAAAATGCGTCTGTGGTCTGTTACGATTATTTTATTAATTCTAAGAAAAGAAAAATTTCTTGTATATGTACAGTGGACATTTTCTCTTCAGTTAGTATGTTTTCAGCAGTGCACAGTTGATGCAGATGCTTGCCTTGAACTTAAATGTAGCACAATTTGAATTATTTGTGTGAAAACCTCTGAATCAACTGTTAATATTTTTGTAATTCTCTAACTTAAAATGCAACCAATATGTTTGCAAACTTTAAATGATAAATGACCCTTAAACCAAGACCTTTCAAGCTAAGCTAATAGCCTGGTGCTAAATTTTGCAGCTGAGTACTATAAATCATCCAAAATAGGGGTTGGTAATTGAACCCTTGACAGGCCTGGCAGTTCTGTGATGTCTTAGAAATTATACTTGCTGGTTTGTGAATAACTGAACTGCAAGCTCATAGGATTTTGAAATACCCCATGCTGTATATATAAACACATGCCTAGTGCCTCTTCAGCAGTGTTGTTTGTAAGTCACGCTGAAGGTAGTTGACATACTCACCCTTCATGGGCATGAACAAAAGCAGTTTGGTGCAATTGTTTTCACTTAAAAGGTAACCTATGTAGAAAGTGAAGCTAAAAGAATAGGTCTTGGATCTGATCTTATGTTTTCCTTATTTGGATGTGTTTGCTTTTGTTTTTTTCTTAAAGGAACAAGAGCACTCAAGGTGAAGGATAATAATCAACTAGAATCAGCACTTTGAATGAAATTTTGTTTCCCTGTGGCATCTTGAACACTTCTTCGGGTTTTGAAACAGACTTATAACTTTGTGGCATAGCAGCTATGCAGCTTGAAATCCAAGTAGCACTCAATTTTATTATTTCATATTTGTACAATAAGCTTCCCAGACGACGTGTCAACATTTTTGGTGAAGAGCTTGAAAGACTTCTTAAGAAGAAGTATGAAGGGCACTGGTATCCAGAAAAGCCATACAAAGGATCAGGGTTTAGATGTATACATATAGGGGAGAAAGTGGACCCGGTCATAGAACAAGCATCCAAAGAGAGTGGTTTGGACATTGATGATGTTCGTGGCAACTTGCCTCAGGATCTTAGTGTTTGGATTGACCCATTTGAGGTTTCATACCAAATCGGTGAAAAGGGACCAGTGAAAGTGCTTTATGTGGATGATAATGAAAATGGATGTGAGTTGGATAAGGAAATCAAGAACAGCTTTAACCCAGAGGCCCAGGTGTTCATGCCAATTAGTGACCCAGCATCTTCAGTGTCTAGTTCTCCTTCTCCTCCCTTTGGTCACTCTGCTGCTGTGAGCCCGACTTTCATGCCCCGCTCCACTCAGCCTTTAACCTTCACCACTGCCACATTTGCTGCCACCAAGTTTGGCTCGACCAAAATGAAGAATAGCGGCCGTAGCAACAAGGTCGCCCGCACTTCTCCCACCAACCTTGGCTTGAATGTCAATGAGCTGTTGAAGCAGAAAGCCCTTTCCTCCTCCATGCACTCTCTCTATGGGCTTGGCCTAGGCAGTCAGCAGCAGCAACAGCAGAAGACTTCTGCCCTTTCTCCTAATGCCAAGGAGTTCATTTTCCCCAACATGCAGGGTCAAGGTAGTACCAGTAGCATATTTCCTGGTGACAGCCCCCTTAACCTCAGTCCTCTCCAGTACAGTAATGCCTTTGATATGTTTGCAGCCTATGGAGGTCTAAATGAGAAGTCTTTTGTGGATGGCTTGAATTTTAGTTTAAACAACATGCAGTATTCTAACCAGCAATTCCAGCCAGTTATGGCTAACTAAAAATAAAAATGAAATACAACTAAATACAATTGTACAAGTTTAAATGCACGTACCCAAGGGTGTATCTTTTTTTCCACCTCTTGAGATTTTTTTTAAAGCTTGTAGTATGAATACATTCAAGCTTGGTTAGATGAATACAACATGCATCATTTTTTTTCATTTGCCAACCAAGCACAAAATTATTTTATACTGACTGTACATTACAAAAAATATACTCTCAAAATATGGCCTCTTACAGTATTTAAGATATAGCAAGGACATGGCTGATTTTTTTCGTATATATATATAAAAACACCTATGTATATATATTTAAAAAATTGGCACTAATAGGTGGGTTTATTGGTCTTTTTCTAATTGTATAATTTAATTTAGTACAAAGTTTGTAAAATATCAGAGTATATATATTGTTTCTACAACATGGTATTGCATTTATATCTTTTTACTACAGTGATCTGTGACAGCTGCAGCAGCTTCATGTTGTATTTTTTTTACTGAAATTGTAAGATATCCATCTTAAAGACATCAATTCTAAAAAGGTAAAAAAATTGTGTACAGAATATTCCTTAGTGGTGGAATTAAAATGTACGAAATATTTGCTTTTTTCAGAAGAAACACAAATTGTATTTTCTGTTAAAGGTTTAAAGATTTTTGCTATATATTATGGAAGAAAATGTAATCGTAAATATTAATTTTGTACCTACATTGTGCAATACTTGAAAAAAGGTATAAAAGTATTTTGAGTCAGTGTCTTACATGTTAAGAGGGACTGAAATAGTTTATATTAAGTTTGTATTAAAACTCTTTAAAATTAAATGACTGTGGTCTTTGTTTTTACTGCTGTGCTGAAGGTCAGTGCTGCGTTTATTGTGTTGTCAGTGCTAATGATGCACAAAAGTCTGACTCAGTGCTTCACAAAGGAGTGATGGAAAGGGCTGCTGTGTTGATGCATCACAATAATGGGTGCCTTTACCTAAAATAGTTCTGACAAAGCACATAGTCTGATTAACACTTTAGTTGCATTTTTTGAGCAAATTTGCACTTGTTTTCCATTACTGAAATCAGAATATGATCAGTTATTTTTTTCCTTGGAGAATTAAGATTGCGAGCTATTTATATGTTGAGTTATGGTGTGATGTGATGTAGCCAGAAGGTACTCAGGTGATTCAGTGAATTCACTTTCTGTGTAATCAAAGTGGATTTGAACTATTCTCTTGGGAGGTCATGGACCAAAGCATCAGCATTTTATTTCTGTATTAGGGATTAATAGCTCAGAAACGAGACTGAATAAAACTGCTGGTTTATAGTTCACTAAACTGATTGTAACCTTTCATTTTATATGCCTTAAAAAAATAAAAAAGGAAAGAAATTAACGCAACTGCAATGTGACAGTCTAGGGCTTTATTTTAGTGGATTCCTCCAATGTTAATGTACTCAATTTTTCAAAATATGGATGTTCATGAGTGGAGGGAGAAATAATTCAGAGACTGACAAAACAATTGAGTTTTTCCAGGGCAATTTTGAATTTTTTTTTGTCCTTTTGATAAACAGCATCCATTGCTCATGGACATTGTCAAAAGGAAGAGAAAGTATTATTTCTTTAATCCTTAAATCTAACATATTTTTTTGCCATTGCTGTTACAGTTGCACAGAGAGAAAATACATGCTAAATGCATGGGCCTTTGCTTCATGATATCGAATTCTAAGCTAAAAAGGGAGTAAAGGTTTTTAATTTATCTGAATGTCCGGTTTCTGGCCCTGGTGTTGGTTACAGAAAATCAGTTGTCATCTGCTTGGGACACTGCTTGGTTTTGCAGAAGAGAGATGTTGCACCCCTGTGCAGACCCAGCAGGGTTCAAGCAGAGCAGTGTTTTGCTGGAAGTAGACAAGTGCCGTAAGTAAAAAACGAGCGTGTTTGTCAACCCTGGGCTAAAATCTTTGCTCTGCTGTGGCAGGAGGAGGCCACGGAGCAGTGTTGGGCTATCAGGTGGCCTGAGTGGAGCTCCAAGACTGGCAATGCCATCAATTTCTAATGTCACGACAACCAATTCAAAGGCAGTAATTGGGCTGCTGTTTTGGGGCGTTCCTCTGTATTTAACTGACTTATTTTTACAGGGTTTGCCCTCTGGTTTATCTTTCTGCCTTGGACAGAACCATACTTAAAAGCCTCTAATTCAGTGTCTTATTTTAAGTAGCCGATTTTGCTTTAGAGGGAATAGGTTGCTGAAAGGCATCTAACAGAAACTGAAACAAAAATGGGGGTTAACTTACTGAAAAATATAGAATGTTAGATCTATACATTGTTGCTATTTGCATTCCTAAACTTTAAAGGCTTCTTAAAATTTTAATATTTGCAATATGGTAGTAATATCCTAGCTGCCTAGGAGGTTAAGAAGTTTTGATAGTGGAAATTATTCTGTGTTGTGCAGTATCTTTGTTCCTGTGATTTAAACCGCGATAGTTTGCCTTAAAGGCTGTCCAGCTCTGCCCTTTTGGGATTCATGCACTTTCCTAGCAATCAAGGAAAGATGGTGACTTCGAGGGAAGAAGAATCTCTGAAAACAAGGTTGCTTTTCGTGGCTGTCTTTGTTATGCAGCTGCATCTTGTGGATAGTAGTAAGCATGTTTTTGTTCTTCTACTGATTCTTAAGGATTTTTCAAAGTTACCGATGGCACTTTCTAAGGATACAAGCTGGAGAGAGAGCTCTCAGTATTCTTGAGGAATGTAAATGTGAAGCTTTTTATTTTTTTGTTTTCTTGTTGCTTACAGAGATTAAAGATTTTGGTAGTTTTTTTCATCCATTTATTTGACCTTTTCCTGAGGTTTAATGTTGAATTTCATGTTACATCAAACATTTACACTGCAGCATTCTGTTCTAAACATATGCCAAGTAACCCTCTTTTTTGACTTGCATGCATCCAGTATTCTGCTTTTGCAGCATGTTCTCGGGTAAGTGCGTTTGCTTTGAGAGGAATGACCTAGAGCGTGTGAAGGGGGAAAAGGAAGCGTTTACCCAGTCGTGCAAGTTCTTTCATTTATCTCTTAAGGACATGCAGTTTACTTCCTTGAAATTGCTGGTATAAGTTAAACCTCTGAAGCTGTCTTTAATTTACAAGTGAAAAGAATGGATAAAATGTCCCTCCTTGGTACACCCTAGTGCATCCTGTCTCTTCATTCAAGGTCCCCACCCAAACATAAGTTATCTTTTTTTCTTAACACAATCTGAACTATTGATGTTCACTAGTGCTGTGCTTAACTTTTTAATCTAAAACCAGGCCTAGACCCTGAACACAGTCGTGTTAGTAATTGCCATCTCTAAATTGGTGGTAGTGCCTGAGAACACAAGACGTTTTGTAGCATACCTGTCTCATCCAATGGTTCTTGCTTAAACCCACATCTTATGTAGATCTTTTAAAGAATAAAACTGTGTTGTCAAAATATTTATTTTTATAAAATGTCAGAAGTTATATTTACTGCTTTGTTTTTGCTATATGTTTAGTTTATGGAACCATATTCTTTGTTTTCCACACTGAGGATTAAACAAAAATGAGTGTAAAACCTGGGTTTACAAGACTGTGATGTGAATCCCAGGGGCACAGGTTAACCTGGCATTGGATTCTCAGCTAGTGTAAGGTTTTTTTAGTGCGTAGCTAACATGATTTATACCAATTGGGTCAAGACATGGAAGGTTCCATCCCTTTTTTTCAAAGTGGAAAATCGGCTGTTTCCCGTTGCTTGTACAATGTCTTGTTGCAGATAATCGAGCAGATGATTCCCCATCAAGAGCTCAGTCCCAAGCCCAGCTCTCTGGTCCTCCAAACTCCCCTTTGACCAGAGCAGACAAAAGCCCTTCACTAGCAAACAGCATTTCTGAAATATCAAGTAACCAAACAACTAGTTGTTGAATCAGCTCTTTGGACCAGCATAGGATCAATCCACAGCTCATTTGTTGAGCTGACACACTGGACTGTTCTATTAACGTTTCAGTAATAAATACCTCCGAGTTTGTAGTTGTCATTCTGGAGCACATGAAGAAAACCGACGGTTC